GTTAAGAGTTTAGGCTTTGGAATCAGTTATACCTTGTTCTAAATCTTCAGTATGAGACTGGCTGAGTTCCAACAAATCTATGAAAGAATAGTAATAGAATCTATATAGTAGTTTTGAAGTATTGTGAAGATTGAGCAAATAATGTAAAAAATAAAGCTTAGCCTAATGCTATTTAATACTAGAATTAAATAAATAATAGCTTTATTTATATTTACTACTCAAGAGTTTATTAAATAGGACAAGAAAACAAGAATAGAGCTGAGTCAGTCAATTATGTCTTGAATCCACAAAGCACATATACTTTTATAGAAGAAAAGCATTTATCTCCCTAGGGTCACCTGTCAGCCCACACTCAGTTGTCTGCTTCTTGCATGGATACCATCTGATTCAGGTTGCCAAGTACACTTTTTGTCCACAGGTGGACTTTCTCAGGAGAAGTATTTTGCTGAGTCCATGGTTTGGACCATTGATTTGAATGACTTCTCAAGGTCCTTCTGCAATGAAAGGAAATACCTGCTCATAAGCAAGCTGAAGTCACACCTGAGCCTGACCTCAGGTGCATCATGACTAAGTCCAACATGCTGTTCTGAAGCAGATGCAGGTTAGGCTACAAAGAACAGCAAAGACAGAGAGACCAGGGTGCATGGAGACAGCCATGGAACTTCTAGGCCCTCACATCTGAGAAAAGGGACACACTTACAGAAAGTGCCCTTTTAGAAATCTGGTTTTTAGCTGAGGGACCAGTGCTAAGTTTGATAGCTAGAATATGAATACACTAGATACCCTATACCTAGGCCTTGTTGCTCAGGAAAATTTAGGCCAGGAACTGGATATCCTGAAAACCAGCTTGATACAGACATATCTTGTTTTATTTCACTTCACTTTATTGTGCTTTGCAGATACTGTATTTTTCACAAATTGAAGGTTTGCAGCAACCCTGTGATAAGAAAGTCTATTAGTGCTGTTTTCCCAACAGCATGTGCTCGTTTTGTATCTCTATGTCACATTTTGGTAATTCTCACAGTATTTCAAATGTTTTCATTACTATTGTTTGAAACAATATGATCTATGATTAGTGATCTTGAATGTTGTCATTCTAATTGTTTTGGGGCACCAGTAATAGCACTCATATAAGACAACGAACTTAATCAATAAATGTGTGTGTTCTGACTGCTTCACTCACTGGCCATTTCCCTATCTTTCTTCCTCTCCTGGAGCCTCCCTATTCCTTAAGACAGAACAAAATTGAAATTAGGCCAATTAATAACCCTACAATATCCTAAGTGTTCAAGTGAAAGGAAAAGTTGCATATCTCTCACTTTAAATCAAAAGCTAAGCTTAGTGAGGAAGGCATGTTGAAAGCCAAGATAGGCCAAAAGCTAGGCCTTTTGTGCCAAACAGTTAGCCATGTTGTGAATGCAGACGAAAAAGTTCTTGAAAGAAATTAAAAGTGCTACTCTAGTGGACACATGATTGATAAGAAGGTAAAACAGTCTTATTGCTGTATGAAGAAAGTTTTAGTGGTCTAGATAGAAGATCAAACCAGCCATAACTTTCCTTTAAGCCAAATCCTAATCCAGAGCAGGCCCTAACTCTCTTCAATTCTGTGAAGACTGAGAGGAGTGATGAAGCTAAAGAAAAAGAGTGTGAAGCTAGCAGAGGTTGTTCATGAGGTTTAAAGAAAGAAGCCACCTCTACAACATGAAAGAGTAAGGTGAAGCGGCAAGTGTTGACATAGAAGCTGCAACAAGTTATCCAGGTGATGTAGTTAAGATCATTGGTAAAGGTGGCTACACTAAATAACAGATTTCGTTATTTAGGTAGCTAAGGTAGACAAGACATCCTTCTGTTGGAAGAAGATGCTCATCTAGGACTTTTGTAACTAGAGAGGAGAAGTCAATGCCTGACTTCAAAGCCTCAAAGGACAAGTTGACTCTCCTGTTAGGGGCTAATACAGCTGGTGACTTTAAGTTGAAGCCAATGCTCATTAACCATTCTGAAAATCCTAGGTCCCTTTATGTTCAAACTACTCTGCCTCTGGTGTATAAATGGAACAATAAGGCCTGAATGACAGCACATCTGTTTACAGTATGGCTTCCTGAATACTTTTAGACCACTGTTGAGACCTACTGCTCAGAAAAAAATTCTTTTAAAATATTACTCGCCATTGACAATGCATCTAGTTACCAAACGGCCTGGATAGAGATGTACAAAGAGATTATTGTTGTTTTCATGCCTGCTAACACAACATCCATTCTGCAGCAAATGGATCAAGAGTAATTTTGACTTCCAAGTCTTATCATTTAGGAAATACATTTTGTAAGGCTATAGCTGCTGTACAGAGTGATTCCTCTGATTAATCTGGGAAAAGTAAATGGAAAACCTTCTGGAGAGGATTCACCATTCTAAGATAGTATCAACAACCTGTGTGATTCAATGGAAGATGTCAAAAGATCAACATTAACAGAAGTTTGGAAGAAGTTGATTCCAACCCTCATGGATGACTTTGATGTGTTCAAGACTTTAGTGGAGGAAGTCCCTGCAGATATGGTGGAAATAGCAAGAGAACTAGAATTTAGAAGTGGAGACCAAAGATGGGACTGAATTGCTGCAATCTCATGATAAAACGTGAACAAATGATGAGTTGCTTTTATGGATGAGCAAAGAAAGTAGTCTCTTGAGGTAAAACCTACTCTTAGTGAAGATGCTGTGAATGTTGTTGAAATGACCACAAAGGATTTAGAATATTACACAAACTTAGTTGATAAAGTAGCAGCAGAGTTTGAGAGAATTGACTCCAATTTTGAGAGAAGTTCTACTGTGGGTGAAATGTTTTCAAGTAGCATTGCATACTACAGAGAAATCTTTCAAGAAAGGAAGTCAATTTCAATTTGAGGTAGCAGACTTTATTGTTATCTTAAGAAATTGCTACAGCCACCCCAACCTTTAGCAACCACCGTCAGTCAGCAACCATTAACACTGAGGCAAGATGCTCCACCAGCAAAAAGATTATGGCTCACTGAAGGTGTAAGATAGTTGTTAACATTTTTTAGCAAGAAAATATTTTAAAATTAAGATATGTACACTGTTTTAGACATAATGCTATTTCACACTTAATAGACTACAGTAGAGTGTAAACATAACTTTTATATGCAGCGGGAAACCAAAAAGCTTGTGTGACTCATTTTATTGCAACATTTGCTTTATTGTGGTGGCCTGGAACCGAGCCTGCAACAGCTTTGAGGTATGCCTGTATGTACTGGCATGTGTCTCTGAGCTAGATCAATTCTCTCACTCATGGCAGTGCACCATTTCCTAATTTAGATGCATAAATTTTGTTGTCTGGGTCTTGATGAGGACGGCTAGAGGGACATCATAAAAAGGATCAGGGACAAACACTCAGGTGGCTGATGGGTCTCAACGTATGAAGCAAGAAACTCCTGCCCTTCATGGGCTTTGTATGTTCCTTGCATTAAGCATCCCTTGGGGCAGGTCTAAAAGTGGAGGTAGAGCAGTGGAAGATGCTATATAAGAGGTTCCTTAGGTCTCTAAGGAAATTAATATAATTATTGATTTTTAGAACTGTAATAACCTATGAGAGGTTATAAAATGATTTGCTTGGCTGGGCATGGTGGCTAATACCTGTAATCCCAGCACTTTGGGAGGCCGAGGCAGGTGGATCATGAGGTCAGGAGTTCGAGACCAGCCTGGCCAATATGGCGAAACCCCATCTCTACTAGAGAACACAAAAAATTAGCCGGGCATGGTGGCATGCGCCTGTAGTCCTAGCTACTCAGTAGACTGAGGCAAGAGATTCACTTGAACTTGGGAGGCAGAGGTTGCAGTGAGCCAAGGTCATGCCACTGTACTCCAGCCTGGGCGACAGGGTGAGACTGTCTCAAAAAGCAAAAAAAAAAAAAAAAAAAAAAATTTGCTCGAATTCAACAGTGAGCCAGAAAATTTTAGTGGTTGAGAGCATTCTACTGGTAGAGGAAAATGAAATATAAAACTTCTGAATCACTGTGGGAGAGGAAAGAAGGGAAAAACAGTGCTGAAACAAAGCAAGCAAACATAGAGCACAAAAGACAAAGCATAACAAGGTAACAAAAATCCAAATATATTACGTATGACAGAAATACTGACAGATAAGCCTCCCATATCAAAACCCAAATATTATTGAGTCTCAAAATAAAGTCCTTTCCTATCACTGTAGGGTTGGGTTTATTTCCACTCTAGTGGAACTAGAATGGAAGCCCAGGTTTGACATCCTGCTAGGACCGCAGGGGCCTTTGTTTCCCTCCTCCCTGCTTTGGACGTGTGTCCCCCTGCAGCATTCTTCCCAGCTGCAGCTTCCCTCCAGTTCTCTGAGAACAGAACTGATATAGGGGAATGCCCAGAGCTGCTTGTTTCTATGTTTAAAACAGGTTATGATGTTGCTTTGAAATGTCTTTATTCTTTTAGAATGTATTCCACCAGCTGTCAACAGCTGGTATAATCGACCTGTGACACCCAGAAGTGAAGGCTTCCGTGCTAATATTGGCAGAGGCAGTGGCAGTGGTGGAGAAGGTGGCAGTGACGGGGGAAGTGATGGAGAAGGCGGCAGTGATGGGGGCAGTAGAGGAGATGGACTTTTCTGTAGTGGCAAAGCAGATGGCATTTATAGTAATCCTGAGGACAATAACAAGTTCTTCTGGTGTGTGGAAGGCAATACCTTTCACCTCAAGTATGCCCAAGGTTGGAGCAGAACTGTAAATGTTGCAACTGGCCTTATACATACTCGTAAAATGCTAGTGTCACAAATTCTGTTGTCTGCATGTCAAACTACATCCTCCAATATGTCAGGTAGTCTACATATTATATAAATCTGTCACATTGGAAGCTTTACCCCACTAAAACAGCATTATAATAAAACTTAATTCCATTAAGACCTAAAAATACTATAAACTCCTCGAACCAAGTCTAGATGTAAAATAAATACGGTACAGTATGTTTTCGTCCTTGGGTTCATTTGTACTTTATTACTTTTATATACAATGTAGTGCTTTCAAGGACCCTGAAGGTTAACTGAAGCTATATTAAAATTTTATCTTTCATCAAATCAGATTACTATGTTAGAGAGTTCCCTTCCCTGGGAAAAGCTTTGAGCGTATATACTAAACAGTGTGAAAGATGTTCTGTCCCCACCCCCACCCTCATCAATATCCTCCAAAGGGACCTAAGACACTGAAGCAGAAAAAGAGAAAACATTGAATGCTAAATTATCACCTCTGAAAAAATCTGCACGTGTGGGTACAAAGGAGAAAAAGGAGGGAGGTGTGCAGGAGAGGTGATAAGAGTTAATCCTGACTTATCTCAAGTCATGAATACTTCTTGACAAGATAACAGAAATCATTAAATCATCAGATTAAAAGAAGTGTATATATTAGGTATGTTTTTGCTGAGGTTATCTTTATCATTATCTTAATATGTCCTATGTGATTTCTCATAAAGACTTTTCTGTCCTTCACCATTATTGTTTCAGAAGACCTTGGCCTTTAAGGAATTAGGCCCCCCACAGCATCATATGGCCAGGAGGCTTCACCTCTTGCTAGCCCTTTCCCCAGCTAATGCTCATCAGGGGGTGGCCATGAGGGTTACAGTAGGCTGTCCTGCAGCCACTGGCAGCTTCTCGATTTTTGGTGTCCAGACACATGCAGGCTTACCACCTTTCTGGTAATTACGAAGAAGCCTAAGTGGGTACTAAAGGACCCTCTTCTTAAAAGATTAGATCATATTTAGTGCCAATCCTGGACAAATCTATACTGATGATTTCAGCTAGTGCTGGAAGGAAAGGGGTCTACCTCTCAGGCCCGAGAGTCTGGGTAAGTACTTTAAACATAGCTGCTTACAAGTCAGTCTGGGGCTATAAAGTTATGACCTTTGTAACTCCAGAATGACTTGTAAGGTTCTAGGGGGTCATTCGGATTGGAGGGCAAACCCAATCCACTAGCTGCTCTGGGGAGTCCTCCTCTGACTTCAGGCCAGGCCCAAGGACTTAGTAGATAAGTTTATTTTGATTCCTGCCATATCCCCAGTGCTTACTGCTCTGCTCAACACATAGTAGGACCTCAGTATATATGTTGACTCACAGACTAAATGGATGATGTCGTAGGAAAGGGGCAATTTTTTAGTTTTTGAGTTTTATGTCAATCTGGGAAAGCCAATCAAATCAAGACCTTCCCACTCCATACTGAGGAACAGAATTAGAAGAGCTCCAATACATGTTTTAATCTGCCTTAAGTGTTTTCTGTATCTCGTAAGCCCAAATCCCATCCAAACCCTTGATATGCACAGGCTAACAGTCTCCTATGACCAGAGCTAGTGGTAGAATATATAAAATTGTCACCTGGCAATTAGAACTAGAGAGCAGGGGCCCACAAATATTTCATTAAAATGAAATCACCCAACTCAGCACCCAACAGGAACCCACAGACCCAGACGCGCCCATGTATGCCACAAGCCAGTAGATGGAGATAGCACTGTGCACTAGTCTTTATGTTCTCATACAGCAGCTATAAGCCCCTTGTCCCTCCCTGGGCTCCAGGCTGCCAGACAAGGGGGCACAGTAATGCAGAAGAAGAAGAGCAGTTCTGTCCTCAGTCCTGGAGAGTCTGTGTATAATAGGAGCATGTGAAGGTAGTCACAGCTGCTCAATTATAATACAGGCTTAGGTAGGCCACACGGTTCCGATGCTTTCTAAAGTCTTTGTCTGTGGACAGCTGCAATGAAAGAACGTTGTTTAGATCAATATTCTAACGAGAACCCTCTGCCTCTGGTCTTCCCAGTTATGCAAAAAAGAACTGTACATTATAGAGGTGAATCCCAACCCCACAGTAATCTAGCCTTAGTGATTCTCCCAAAATTTGTGTGTACATCTACCCTTTAACATCTTACTACAGTGTATACCATGCTAGGAATTATTTACTACTTAGTAAATCCCCAAGTAGTTGGTGGGCTTCTTGAGTTCAAGGATTATATGTTTAATTCTTGAATGTTACCCATAGGCCCTAACGCAATAATGTTAATACATTTGGCATTTCATAAATAATTGTGGAATTGATGAAAAGTTCTACTAGGAAAGAAAAAAAGCACCTCTGGAATTATGATAGCTAACAGATTGGACAATTACTAAGTTATCAGGTACTGTGTTAAATGATTTTCCACATTTTCTTTACAACCTTATCGGATTGAGTCTATTGTAATACCCATTTTACAGATTAAAAAACTGAGGCTTAGAAAAGTCAAAAGATTTGCTCAAGATTACACAAGTAAATACCGCAGCTAGTATTTGAATTCAGGCAGTTTTGTCCCCAGAATCCATGCTGTTAGCTGAATGCTTTATGGCTCCTCAGTGATCTAGTAGTACTCAAGGGGTATGTTGGAAAGAGCAATGAATTAGGAGTCACAAGATCTGGATTCCAGTTGTGAAACCTGCACAAATCCCTTAATCCATCTGGGCCTCTATTGTGTAGGGATATTTCCTCTGTATCCACCACAAAAGTTATTTAAGGATCAAATAAGAAAATCTCATTTTGTTTAGTCATATATACCTTTAAGAATCTAATGAAATAGTGTAATTCTCCAAAAAGTTCCTCACATTCATATACTCACAAAATTGTGCATGTAATTTTCTGGGACCAAGAACTTCCTGAAGTTCATTCACAGACCCCTAATTAAGAGTCCCTGATACATATGAAAGTACTAGATTGAACACCAGTCCTCTACAGAAGTCCAGTCTTATTACCTCAGCTTTTAGGGTCCTTTTCTGTAGACATGGAACCTGAGCCCAGTCTGGAGATCCAAATTTCATTGGCCAGGCAATTTTTGGAGGTGGCTTCTTCTCTGGGTTGTATGCGCCAGGGCTAGAAATAAAAATACAAGCATCATGTCTAATGAGTTAGTGACCATACACAAACTCCATCAGTACCAGAGCCATCCCTGAACTAGGCCTAACCTCTTGGAAAAAGGCAACAGATTGATTAGCTTTTTAATTAAGCATGGGATTACTTTACCTGTTAATGTATTTCGAGTTAAATGTTAGTGTTAAACATCTAACTTGACAATCTTGACATCCAGTTAGAGCACAGATCGACTCCAGATTAAAAGATAGTTCTGTACCTCAGTCTCTATAGCTGAGAGATGAGAAGGTCCTAGAAGTGGTGGGTGATGAAAGAGATCTAAAGCAGTGATGTATTAGTACTGCCCAGCATTTAAAGTTGGTGATAAAAGTGCAGTGATAATCTATCTGCAATGTAGGCAAAGCAAAGCAGAGCCAGTTAAATTTTCTTGACAATGGGATCATTTAAAAATTGACCATGTTCATCACACTTTGTCTTTTGATGTAGACCCTTTACTGTCAGGAATAACGGACTGGACATGGGGGTCAAGACTCAATGCTTCTACTTCCTTAATGCAACCTGAGAAAGTTACATTCACTCTGTGATCCTTGGATTTCTCATCAACAAAAGAAAGACCTTGACTTTTTGCCCTACAAGTCTATACATTCTGAATAGCTTCCTAAAGCACTGAGAGTAAGCCTGTTGGCCTGCAAGGCCTATGTGCTCCAGTATGCCCTCCATTTCTGTCTCATTTCCTACTCGCTCACTACACTCTAGCCATGCTAGCATTTCTTTTTGTTCACGTCAAATTCCTTCCCAATTTATAGCCTTTGCACTTGCTGTTCCTTCTGCTGGGAATGCTCTGTCCCCAGATCTTCACAGGCCTGGCTTAGTATTGTCATTCAGATCTCAGGTTAAGTGTCATTTCTTCAACCCTTTCTAAAGTAGACTTCAGGCCATCACATCACTCCCTATCATACTGTCATCCTGTTTTACCTTCTTTGTAGCCTGGACAACCTACTTCTTGATTTGTCCATGACAGTCCCTACCTTATGGCTACTGTCTTGGTAGAATGATTACTAGGTCCCCTTTTACTCTCAGAAGTGTTATGGTTTGACTAACAAATTATATGGTCACTCTATTACTATTGATATTTTTGTGTGTATTTGCTTGTGCTCTGTCTGGACTCTAGAATGTAAGCCCCAAGAAATCAGGAGACTTGTGTGATGAATTTACTGCAAAATCTGTCGAATCTACACAACTGCCTGGCATATTAATAAAAATTCATTGAATGAGTAACTATGATTCTACATTCTACAATGCCAGAAATCTATGAGACAATTGATTAAATCTCTGAATGGTTGCTTATTTAACTGGGATGGTTTGGGTGTCATCCCTTCTTTATGTGCTTCTTTTCTTATTATGTACTTATTTTCCTCCTATTGCTTTTTTGTTGAAGTGCACCAAAAGAGAGGAGACATACCTGGGATAGTAAGTGTCCTTTGGGTAGTTCTTAAATCGAGGCACCAAGACATTAAATGGAGCAAAATTTTGTTTGTGTTTCTCCTGCTGAGGACTTACTTTCTGGTACATGCCTGCAGCAGGTGTCACTTCCTGTTTCCAAGAAAAAGATCATTATGTTAGAGAGTGATATGTACATATACACAAAAAGCCTTCCAGCTGGAAAAAACAGAATCATCCTCTTTCTGTTCATAAATCAGCTATGGTTCAGCCACCTCAAGCTACAGAAATCAGTCTTTGGTAGGTAGAAAACTGAGATATGGGTGTGGTTCAGCTACCTAGTGATACACAATGTATAGGTTGTAGAAATAAATCTAGGGGCCGGGCGCAGTGGCTCAAGCCTGTAATCCCAGCACTTTGGGAGGCCGAGACGGGCGGATCATGAGGTCAGGAGATTGAGACCATCCTGGCTAACACAGTGAAACCCCGTCTCTACTAAAAAATACAAAAAAATAGCCGGGCGAGGTGGCGGGCGCCTGTAGTCCCAGCTATAGGGAGGCTGAGGCAGGAGAATGGCGTAAACCCGGGAGGCAGAGCTTGCAGTGAGCTGAGATCCGGCCACTGCACTCCAGCCTGGGCGACAGCTCGAGACTCCCTCTCAAAAAAAAAAAAAAAAAAAAAAGAAATAAATCTAGGATGGGTAGAGAACCAAGGCAACTTATCACAGCCACTACCCTTAACATCTCACTCAGATATTTTTAGAGCTAGTATCTCTGCTCCTCAAGCTCAAGTGTCAGGAAAATGTCCAATAAGAGATTAGGATCCTATACTGAACTTTAGACTTGAAACCCAATCACACAAAAGGGTGGAAAAGTTGGAATTTGTTTTCTAACTGACAAGATAATATAATGTATATAAACACAAGCTTCGAATGTTTAACCTCAGGCATCTCAGCACCAAAGCCCTGTGTTGGGACCATTCTTTCAGTAAATTGTTTTCCACTCTCCCCAGTGCACTCACATGCATATTTACAATGTTAATGCCCAAGCTTTTCAGATAGGCTTCTTAATAGCTTTTGCTTAAATGCCTACTTTTCTTTAATTTCAGGGCATATTCTTTCAGATCACCCCCCTCTTGCTCTCTCCCCTTTGCACTCCTGTGCAAATGCATGCAACAATGTGGATAACACTAAAATCCCAGCACATTACCTTCTGTATTGGCTTAAACCTCACAGCTGTTCTGGCTCCCAAAGTATATCCTTTTATACTGGTTGGGATCTTAGATAAGTCGTATGCCAAGCCGTATCCCTTTGGGTGGTATATTAAAACAAACAAACAACAAAAAAAGAAAGAAAGAAAGAAAAAACAACGCATAGTCAGAGAACATTAGGACCATCGAAATGGAGTGAACTTAGCATGTTCCCATCTGAACCTTCTCTGCAAGGGATCTTTCTTGTCTTGACTCCTTTGAGGTCAAGACCATAGAATTCCACAAGTAATACAGGTAACTTTGTAGAGGGGTGTGGCTGGATACGTAGACTATAGGACATTGCCATATATTCGAAGCAATCAGTCTTCGGAGCCCCACAGAGCTGAACTTACTCTAATGCAACTGTCAGCCTGAGGTTTGGAGGAATGGGAGGGTAACTGGCATTGGCTCACAGGCCTTTGGAAGTGAGGACGGAGTAGGGATTATATGAAGCTAGGGCTTGCGTTTAATGGAGGTGCAAGGCGGGGAGCAATAACCTTTAATCTCTGGCATTGCCTTAAACAGCTGCTTGCAGAAGAACAGAGCGCTTTCTTATGCTGGGACTCTGAAGATCTCAAGTCCCATAGAATTTTTTTCTTTTACGAAACTTGGAAACTTGGTTATCCGTCAATAGCCAGGGAACTGAGGCCCATCTAAGGGGAGGTGAATACTCACATCTGATAAGTAACACCCAGGCCCTCTGTGGGGTGATCCCCTAAGAGGGACAAACTTGTTCCCAATCAAATTTGGGGGATGGAAGTGAGGAAAAAGTTTCCTCTGTTGACATGTTCCAAAAGGGTAGTTATCCTCGGCGTCTAAAAGAAAGAAAGAGGAGAGGCTCCACGTGAGGGACGGCACCTGAGTCTACATGAGCGCGTTCGGGGAGGAGAAGGTCGGGGAGACAGCAGAGGACAGGGCCCAACCGTGCACTTACAAAACCACGCCAAACTCCACGGAGCGGGGCCGCACTGCAGTTCCTCCCACTTAGTCTTTCCCAGCTTCCCCACACTTCCCCCAACCTAACCTCTACCCCCACCTAACCTCTACCACCTAACCTGCTTTGCTGAAGCACATCGCGAGCTGCTAGGGCTAGCACTTGTGTACTGCGTTGCCAAGGAAACGGAGGCTAGTCCCGTGATTCCCAGTTGCGGAGCGCCGGGAGGGGGAGAGGGCCCGAGCGCGTCTGCGCGACAAGCTGCGGCGTCCACTGAGCCACTACTGGGGCAGGAACCCGCACCTTGGAGCCCAAAGCCCAGGGGATTGTAAACTCAGTAGCTGGGCTGCGGGTAGAGGGTTTCCTGGATTCGCGGCTGTAGGGGCTGCAGGGTTGACGGGGTGGCAAATAGCTTTGGAAGCTGAGTCAAGAGGAATGCGCTGTTGTACAGGGAAGGACAATTGGGTTCTGAACGTCCCAAAGTCCGGGCCAGCAGCAAGTAAAGTGAAAGTAAAAAGACGCAGCCGCTGCTGCGTACGGGGGTGGACTCCCTGGGCAACACCGCAGCAGAAGAGTAGGGGGCGGAGTTGTGCTGACAGCTAGTTCCATATTAGGCCCTTAGACCATTTTTCCTTTTCCTCAAGCCCCTCCGATCAGGTTGCCCATTCTATCCCGGGGGGAACTGGAGGCCGGGGGGTCGGGGGGAGGGGGCGCGAGATTTTAAAAGAACTGGAGGCCTTGCGTGGACCGGGTAGAATGCCACGGAATCAGAGAGGACTAATAGTGTTTTTTAGAAGGTGGGGCAGTCAAATTTCTAAGCTCCAGTTTTCTTATCGCTAAATTGGGAAAAAAATTCCTCTATATAGGATTATTGAGAGGATCAAGATGACAGGATTAAAACAGTTCAGAACGTGGTACTTGGAGGGTGACATACAACAGGTTATTGTCACTGAAGATAATAATAACCCAAGAAAAAAGATGCGAGTGTGTTTTGTCTTTTTTGCCTTTGTCATGGATATTAACACTAGCTTGTTTTCACTAGCTTTTTAGGATGGCTTTAGGAGTTGTCCAGGTGTTAGAGGTAACAGAACGCCCAGTGTGACTGGTCCATACTTTGACCCTTTACAGGTGATGACCCTGGAATCCACACATACTCCGCGTCAGCACGGCCTTCAGGGATGATTTTTATAGATCTAAAGTAGAGTTTCAAAAAAAGGTGACACTGACTCCCAGAGGGTGGTTTGGAAATTCGTGCAATAATTTTTGCTTGTTAAAAATTGTTGGGGTCAAAAATTGTTCCTGGTCAACAGGCTAGGGAGGCTAGACATCCTACACTGCATTGCCCAGGCTTACAGTGAATTAATTGTCCCATGTCCCGCATCACATTCAAATATGTCCTGTTGGACTCTACAAAAATAACTACTAGTAGTTATACATATGAACACCGTGAAATTTATAGGAAATAATGCAGAAAGCCCAGTAATATAGAAGGTTGTTATGAGGAGCCAAGCTTAAATGGAATAAAGATAGGGTCCGAAAATTATTGTATAATTTACTCCAAGCATTTTGTCTACTTAAAATACAATTGCAATAATACTGAGGGTAAATAAAATGTAAAGAAATGCAATCACACATTACTTAGTGATGAGGATGTTTTCCGAGAAATGTGTCACTAGGTGACTTTGTTGTGCGAACTTCATAGACTATACGTAACACAAACCTAAGTGGTATAGCCTGCTACACACCTAGGCTTATACTATGGCCTGTTACTCCTAGGCTACAAACGTGTACAGCACATTACCGTATTGAATACTGTAGGCAATTGTAACATGATGTTAAGTATTTGTGTATCTAAACTTATCTAAACACAGAAAAGGAACAGTAAAACTATGGTTTAAAATTAAAAATGGTACACCTGAATAGGGCTGCTCCATTGTAATTCTAGGGAGCCACCATTGTATATACAGTTCATCATTGATCAAAATGTCTTCATGCGGTGTATGACTGTATTGGTATGGATTTGATGATTTTTACTTTCATTAATTAGGTAATATTAACATTTGTAGGTATTAATGTGCTTTTTGAAAATAATGTTTACATTATTTGTGACATGTAGCATATTTCGCGAAGTACCTTGAAAATGTGGTAAACCATTCTTACTTTGGTAGACTGGTTTGCTTCAGACTAATTCTCTAGCTGAGAACAGGTGAACTGGATAAGTAAAATATATGTGTTTGAAGACATCAAAGATATACAAAGAAAGAAAGAACATTCAGAGCCAAAATCTCAGAGAGAAGAGAAGCCCAAAGTGGTGAGTTCAACCTTGGTGCTGCTGTTCCATTGGAAGACTTGCTAAATAAAAAGCTGACTGAGAAGCAGAGGATTTGAGCAGAACTTTGGTTAGACAGTCTCTGAGAACTCAGAAAAGATTTAGGTTGGCCATGGAGAAGGGGAGACTGTAAAACACAGTTTGAAATTTTAGTCAGAACTTCAAAGAGATAAACCCTAGGAATAAGGGTAAACAAGAAACAGACCAGATGTCAAAAAACCCTGAAGTTCAGCTTTGCATCAATTCAGTTCCCAGTTGCATTAAAGTGATCCACTTCTATCCTTATTGCATGTCATAAACAAAAGTAAATATTTTCTGAAGATATCATCCAGAGACTCAACTAATTTTTACAATTTTTTTCATGCAAAATGTTTGGCATTTGATAAAAACAAGAGCTTATAATAAAAGAGAGTAGAAACAGACCCATAGAAAAATCCAGATATCAGAGTCATGAAACATGGACTTTAAAATAACCATACTTGGTTTGAGATTTTGGAGAAAGCAACAGGACTGCAAGGTGAACACAGGGAAGCCAGAGAAAGCAAGGAAATAACACAAAGCAAATGCTTGACTTCTTAGGAAAGAGGCTAAAAGAAAAAGATCAGACTCTAAAAACAAAGTCAATAAAGATTCCAGTATACACAAGGAAAGAGAAATTTCCCATCAATCTCTATTCATATTACCAATGTGATCAACATAACATAACTGGGCCCGTCTACATCCTGACTGATGCAAAATTTATCAATTTTTCATTAAAGCCAGACCAAACATTGTATAGTCAAAGACAGACTGTCTATATGTTATGTGTATCTTCTGTATAACCATCTATGTAATGATAAGAGGCTAATGCAGAATTTCAGGTAGCTCTAAGAAATGCCAAGGATCAAAGTTTTGAATGATGACCATGCACAAAGGAACTCATGCAGGTGTCTGCTAGTACCAGGGAATACTTAGACCAAGTTTTATAGTGTGGCCAGTTTTGATGAAGACCTTAAGTAAATAATTCAGTAGTTTCCATCATGCACATTTTATAGTATCAAGAGGATGCCAGATGTTTATGGAGACTGTTATAACTTTATGAAACTGTTAATGACTTTTCTCATTTGACTGTCTCTGAGGACATATAAGAATTATTATTATTCCAGAGAATTACTTGCTCTGTTGCAGTGGTCTAATTTAATGAGGATAAGTAGATTCAGTTTTTGGTATAATGTTTTAAACAGATTTGTCTCATTTTAAAATTATTAAATTAAATAATAATCACTTCAACAAAGAGGATAAAGTTGATTACCATATTTAAGAAATTAAATGACAAGACGAAGAATTTAGAAACAATAAACAAGAATCAAATAAAATTGTAGAAAGAAAAAGTATTATCACTGAAAATAAGAATTCAATGTATGGGTTTAACAGCAGATTAGAAAAGCTGGAAAAAAAAAAAAAAAAAAAAGAATGAATGGACTTCCAGTTCCAAAATAGCAGCGTAGAAGCAAACTGGCTTCGCTCTTTGCCTTCCCTAGAAAACTAAAACCGAATATACAGAACTCGTATTATCACCAACAATATCCCAGAATTCAAATATGAAAACAGTTGCTGGGGCCATGAGAAGTGAAAAAATTCCAAGCAGATGGTAAGAGAATTGGACTTCCACATCTGTGGCACCCCTCCTGCCATTCTGCCCAGAACAAGCATGTGAAAAATTTTCCTCCAGCTCAGTTTCTACATTGGAAAAAGTGATATTGAGATGGACAACCAGTTTTCCCACTATCTTGGGTTTCCTTGCAGAAGATCTGCCCCTGCCTTAACCCGCAGGAAGCATCACAGTGCCTGAGGGGAGAAATATACCTGAAAACAGGCAGAGGCAAAGGGAGGAGGCAGGATTACGTAACCAGCCCTGAAAACTCTGCTCTGTAACTTAGCTAAAGGAGATGCCAAATCAGAGTGGTCGTTCAGCAGCGCAAAGCTGTAGGAAGTTCATCCCACAGGTCTCCTGGGCACAAACCCCTAGCTGGTCTTCTCACACAAAGAATTTATCTCAGCAAGGGGTATCTCAACAAAGGGTTCCACTTTTGGCTCCAAGGCTGATGCTGTTGCTAGTTTGTGGAAAGAGAAAGAAAGACCAAGGAGGTAAGGCCTGAAAGTTGGACACATCATTTCCACTCATGTACAGAACTTAGACATGGCCACCTGGATATGGTATTCTTAAATGGCAATTTTTTTCTTTCAACACTTTGAATATGTCATTACACTTACTCCTAGTTTCCATTGAGGATGGAAACTCCTATAGTTTCCATTGAGGATGGAAACTCCTATAGTTTCCATTGAGGAATCTGCTGCTGGATGAATTGGGGATCGTTATATGTTATTTGCTGCTTTTCTCTTGCTGCTTTTAGGTTCTTCTCTTTCTTCTTGACCTTTGAGAGTTTATTCCTTGAGGTAGTCTTATTTGAGTCATATCTGTTTAATGTTCTCAGACCTTTCTGTACATAGATGTTTATATCGTTCTCAAGTTTTGGAAAATTTTCTGTTATTATTTCTTTGAATGAGATTCTACCTCTCGCTCCTGCTCAACTCCCTCTTGAACACCAATACTTCTTAGATTGGGTCTTTTGAGGTAATTTTGTATATCTTGTAGGAAATTTTCTATGTTTTGTATTCTTTTTTCCTTTTTCTTCTCTGTTTCTTCTTTTTTTTTTTTTTTTGAAACAGACTCACTCTGTCACCCAGGCTGGAGTGCAATGACCCAATTTCAGCTCACTGCAACCTCCTCTTCCCAGGTTCAAGTGATTCTCCTGCCTCAGCCTCCCAAGTATTTGGGATTACAGGTGCGCACCACCATGCCCAGCTAATTTTTGTATTTTTAGTAGAGACAGGGTTTTGCCATGTTGGCTAGGCTGGTCTCAAACTCCTGAGCTCAAGTGATCTGCCAACCTCAGCTTTCCAAAGTGCTGGGACTACAGGCATGAGCCACCTTGCATGGCGTCTGTTTGTTTTCAGATAGTCCATCTTTGAGCTCACTGATTCTTTCCTTTGATTGATCCATTCTGCTGTTGAGAGCCTCTAATGAATCTTTCAGTTCAGAAAATGTTTTTCTCAGTTCCATTTTTAAAATTTTTTAAAAAATTATTATTTAAATCTCTTTTTAAAATTTCTCTGATAAGTTTCTGAGTTGCTTTTCTGTGTTA